TTTTTATGGGCTATACTTCTGTGTCTTTTTTAAATTAAAATAAAGTTTTGACATTGTCCTTTTCAATTCCTCCAACCCTTCCCAAGTGCCCCCACACACCTTCTTCTCAAATTCATGGCTTCTGGTCTTTTAATCTAATTGTTGTTACATAAATGTGTGTGTGGTGTTTAATTTTACTTATATGTACAAGTAAAATTTCAAGATAAACCATTTGATACTTGAAAAACAATTAGGGACTTCATCCCTTGAGAAGTCTGTTTTCTCCTGTTCTCAGAAATCTCTTGTAGCTTTTACACCTCAACAAAGAAACTTCTCTTCAAAAGCAAAGAGAACTTGCATTAATTCAACTGATCAAAACCCAGAAAACAAGTTTTGGTGTAGTGTCAAACACCAGTTGATTTATGTATAATGCAAGTTGTTCACTCAAGGCTCAGGGAACATTGTTGTAAAAACCCAAGAAACCAATATGTGCTGTGAGACTCCATCTCCTACAAATGTTGGGAAGGCTGCACCCATTAAGTCTCAAACTGGCAGTCTTTTTTGTTTGTTTGTTTATTTTACTTTTTTTGAGACAGGATTTCTTTGTGTATCTTTGCGCCTTTCCTGGAAATCGCTTTGGAGACCAGGCTGGCCTCTAACTCACAGAGCTCCACCTGCCTTGGCCTCCCGAGTGCTGGGATTAAAGGCATGCCCCACCACCGCCTGGCTCAAACTGGCGGTCTTAAAAGGGACAACAAGAAACATGCTAATACTGAAGGAAGAATCTTGATGGGCCCTAGAAACCCCACTTACAAGAATAACCTCACAACTAAATTTACTTTTTACATCATCCAGTTTCAATCATGGGAATTTCATCCTGCAGAACACTCACAATTGCCCAGTGGCACACCATGATCAATGATGGAAACTCATAACATAGACTTTTACCTGACAATTTCAGCCTGAGGGAATTCTGTGACATTATTACTGGGGCAATTGGGAGGCTGCTACTGACCAATGGGAGGAGTGTGCACTTTGGTCAGCAGAGACAATGCACCAAAGACCATGAGCAATGTATGCATTAATGATTCCACAGCTTGAAGGAAGTATATGGAAATTTTGCTGTGCATGAGCTGATAGCCTACAGGAAAAAGATTTTGTGAACAAACATTCAGTGGAATCATTTGTTCAAGTGTCATCTGCAAGCTGCCGAGAAACTGCAAGTGAACAATCTAAAATCCCAAACTCAGTGCCAGGAATGCTACAATGACCTTGAACAAAACGGTTTAGAACCTATTCTGGAAATTAGAAGACAGAAATTGAGGCTGCATTTGGGAGAAGATAAATGAGGACATAGTGTATCTTTTACAGAAAGAGGAGGGGTGGTTCTATGAAAAGGAAAATGAAGAAGAACTCCACAGAGTTCTCTGGAGGCAGCAGTTACTATGGAGAGGCTAGAGGAATAGAACCAAGAGTGATGAAAGAAGCTGTCTCTACTCCAGCACAGGTGACCCACAGGGATCAGGAATGGTATGATTCTGAAATTGCACAGACAAAGCAAAGAAAATTATTTTCAGAAATTGATTGATTTCTTATGACTGAAGGAAAGAAACCTTACAAAAAAGTCAAAGAGTGAGAAAAGTGATATTTGCACAAAGGAGAACATGATCTTGAGTAAAGTAAAAACAGCTATGTCAATACTTGCAAATTCAAAAGATAGTGATAAAAAGATTGATAGGCTATCCCAAAAACTACCACCTTCAACATTGTACCCCCAATGACTTGTATCACTGCCATTTTACAAATAAGCATAATGATACTCTTTATTTCTCAAAATCAGATTCATATGATTTATAAATATTAAATCAAAAGGATTTCATATATAACAGTAATTAAAAACATCTACCTTGAAAATGATCTTGCTCTAACAAACATGACTGAATTATACAAAATTCATTCCACATTGGTAGTTTCTCCTCCTATCTGGCATTCTAGGGAGTTATGCTAAAGTATTTTTCTAATAATAATTTCAGATCATTTTTTAAAAAAATTCCACAACCTTTGCTGAAGAAAGCAATAATAAACTCCCAAAATCATATAGACTAATAGAAACACCAAAATGTACAATAGTTGATGGAGGACTCCATTGATAAAAGGCCTGGACAATTAAAACATTGTCTGTCCTCTGAAATGTTTACCAATAATTCTGTTTCCTTCAACAATGCAGCACAGGTCTGTTTTGGTTAATTAGTTAACAGATTTTTTTTATCATATTTCAGAACTGATTTTGCCTTGTCTACTATGATTCACAAGTTCTGCTTCACTTGTGAAATTCTCCTTAGATGCATGGTTATGATGTTTTACTAGTTGAAAATGTTCATGACAAGAAAGAAGAAAAGAAAGAAAGGAAGGGAGAAAGGAAGGAAGGACAAGAGAAAGAGAGAGAGAGAGAAAGAGACACAGAGACAGAGAAGGAAAAGAAGGAAGGAAGGAAGGAAGGAAGGAAGGAAGGAAGGAAGGAAGGAAGGAAGGAAGGAAGAAATGAAAGGGCTAGGAAGGAAAGAAGTATCGAAGGGCTGGGCGGGGGTGGCACATACCTTTAATCCCAGGACTCAGGAGGCAGAGCCAGGCGGATCTCTGTGATTTCTAGGCCAGCCTGGGCTATAGAGGGAGTTCCAGGAAAGGCGCAAAGGCACAGAGAAACCCTGTCTTTGAAAAACCAAAAAAAAATATGGAAGGAAGAAAGAAAGCAAACAAAGAAAGACAGCAAGAAAGAACAAAAAGAAAAAGGAAGGAAGGAAAAAGGAGGGAATGAAGGAAAGATAAGAGTTTTGGTTAAGATTGTTGATTGTATGGAGCTAGTGTCTGTTCTGTACCTGTTTGTCAACCATGATTCCAGCAAACATCATTCAGTGTTTGTGAATGTGATACTGCCAGAAGAGTAAGTCCATTTAAATATTCCTTAGAACCCTATCAAAATCATGTTCTTTAATTTATGCATTTGCTGGCTCATCTGAAAATAATGTATACATAGGAAATATGAAATCATTTAAGATATACTCTGCCCAACAGGGCATAAGTGAAAACACAACATGCCAGGAAGATTTTAAAGTTCTACCTACTTGCAGGTTTTTTCTTTCTGAAAGGCTAGGCATATTCCCAGAAAGATGATACCAGTGGATCAATCTGGCCACATCTGTCAGGATGGTAAAAAATTCAAAATATTGGCAAGATGCTTCATCTTAAGAGCTCTGTGGCCTTTGAGACTCCTTGAATGACAATGACTAAGAAGAATATATACCACCTGATTTTGATTTGAGTATCTGGGTATACTTCTGCATTGAGTATAATGAAGAAAGAAAAAAACGGTAAAGAAAAGAAACAGTGACCACAATCCACCACAGTTATGTGGTTGATCTTGTGTTCAGATCTGTGAGGTCAGTCTGTACAATTCTGGAAATGGGTGTTTTTCTTCATAGCTATAGCATCAGCACACAAAGCTGTGTTGTGGTTACACTGGTCACATGCACAGAAATCCAATATTCTCACTTGTAAATATTCACTTAATTTTAAGTATTAAGAGTTAAATGTATATTGGCAAATACAATTTTTAAAAAAGATTTAACTCTATTGAATGTACATTAATATGTATCATTCAAACCCTACAGCTTTGCTTACCTGATCATGTTTCATGTTAAGGATCAACACAGACCTAAAGACCAATACCAGTGCTAATGTCCAACTGATTTTAATTTTCCCTTAATGGTGAACATAGTCCTAATTCACTCAGGGATCTGGAAAACAAAAGCACATCTTAGGTGTCCAGTTCCCTAAATCATGCCTGACTATCTTGTATTATCTTTCAGTTCCTTATATTCACTAACATATCAATCAGAAATGAGAGCATTTCTCTAGTATTGCATAAAAGCCTGTCAGTCAGGGACCTATCTTATATTGACTCATATGTGTGCATTTTCTCTCAAGGAGAGGTAGTAACTTGCATTTCTCAATTTTTCTGTTCCCAAAGCTCTCACACTGTTCACATCAGTCCCTTTTCAGTGATTCCATGAGCCAGGGTATGAGAGATGCCTTCCTTCATAGTACAGAGGACTCCACAATGTAGGCAGTTCAGAGAGAAAATATGCCATAACATTTATAATTTCATGTACTGGACAACGATGAAGACCCCTTGTCCATACTCAATCTTAGAAATACCATTTTCTATGGGTTAAATGTTAGACTTCATGGTTGTTTTCTACCGCTTCATCTGTACTCTCCCTTCTAACATCTAACATTGTGAGAAATGGTGGGTGCAATTCTTATCAGTTAAGTGTATAAATAAAATAAAATGCACATGAAATAAAAGTAGATATATTTTTAAAAAGTTTTCATTTTGAAATAAATATTCATTTCCTAGACAAATGCTAAGTGCAAATAGGGCTTTTCGGAATTTAGTAAAGTGCAGTGTTCTAACCGTGGTTTGTGGTGACAGTTGTTCTAACTCACAGTTTGATTTCACAAGCACAAGTTGTACCTGATATTTATGATGCCACTGGAAAATATGCATTGTTTTCAATGATGGTTAATGGCTAGAGTGGTAACTACAGATGAGTTAATTACTAACACCATTACTCTGTGTAAAATGCAACATGAGATACTAATGTGTGCTGAAATAGCATGAGAAGAAAATTATGTGGCTAAAATGTTTTCTTAAAATTGTGAATATACTTGCTACTTTCTATGTTGGTTTGTCTATTATAGTAAAAATTGTAACACACTCAATTAGAAAAGCTTCATGAATGATACATAACAAGGAATCTGAAGAATATGAGACCTTAAATATTGCCTAATCTGAAATAAAAAAGCAAAGCATGTATACAAAGGTAGATGGTTGTATTTTCCATTATCAACAAGGATAAAACAGTGAGAGAAGACATGTCAGAACTTTGTGCTTAATACTAGAATAAGATTCAGCCAGGGGAGATAACCCAAGACACATTTATTTCTGGCTGTCATTGCTGATATTCATTCTACAATTTGCCTTCAGTGTTACCTTCCAAAGTTCAAGAAGAAGGTTTCAAACCAGTCATTCCAAACAGACTGGTCATTCAATACAGACTCAGTTACTGACCCTATAACTTCTAAATGTAGCATTACATTAAAACATCCTTTAATCCAGAATCAGATTCAAATGCTACTGCTTCCAAGATTGTACAGTTTTACATTCAAATATGAAAGTTCTCTATGGGCATAAAACTATACTAAGTTCAGCTATAACAATCATGCTGCAAAGATAGTCTACATGTCATTTAACATAAGATAAATTATCAAGTTGACATATTTCCACATTTTCACAGATGTATTGCATTACACTGGTGGTACCCACATTGACCCGAAGTCAGAGATTTATATTACAGTAAGAACCAACAGGGACTGTCACAAGGTTTGGTGTGCCTATTTTTGGCTCACCTCTTAGCTATGGAAATATTCTTCTGATTTCTCTGTTTGTTCCACAGATCTGTTTCACCTCCATATTCCCATCACTGAAGACGAGCACTTACTCATGCTTCTCTTCTTTGCTGGGTCGAATGCTCAGGTTAAAATATGAAGTACTCCCCTGGCTTTTTTCCACTGAACAATGTTGGTTTCATTGGGCAGATTTACAGGCATTAATGTAATGGAGTCACTTCAAGCCTGAGGTAGAGGTCTAGGAGTCTGTGACCTCACCTCCCTCTAGAACTGCAATTTTCATATCACCTACAATGGGGATGACAGTGGATGGGTTTAAGAGACCAGATCATTTGTAAAACTTGTTTCACTTGTTAATTAGCAAAGACACTTAAGAGTCTTTTGCTGAATCTCTCCAAAGACACAAGGTGTTTTGAAGGAGCACTGAGTTTCATCATCCCTAAAACCTTACAGGGATCATAGGGAAGGTGCTAGAAAGTTTGAGGTCTGATTCATGAGAAAGTTATAGAGGTCTCTGGGTCCCATTGGATCCAGGCTTCTCTGTCTTCTTCCAACACAAATCAACTTAGATTTTTTTAAGGTTTAGAATATTTACTACATAAATGTTTCTTTTAGTATTATATTAATGCCATGTGTATTTTATCCTAGGGCGCCCATCCATTATATCCTTTCCTAGCTCTTATCCCTGCACCATTTTTTTCTTCTAAATCTCATGTGTTCCCTAAAAAAGAAAACAAACAAACAACAAACTGAGTCTATGTAATAATGCTAGTATGTGCCTAGTGTAGTGGCATCTCTGAAAGCATGGGTAGATTCTTAAAGGTCAACTCCTTTATGAAATCTGACACTTCCTTTCCCAGAAGCCATCTGTGGCCAATAGCTCTTCAGCCAAAAGTGGGACTTATTGACCACCTCCACTGTGCTGGGATCTTGTCTAGCTTGAGCTTGTGAAGATTTTGAGCATGCTGTCCTAACATGTGAATTCACATGTGCAAGTGCCCTGTTCTGTCCAGACAAAATCTGCTTCCTTGGAATTTAATTTCACCACTGGTTCTTACAAACTTTCTACCTTTTCTTCCATGATAATCCTTGAGTCTTGGGAGGAAGAAGTATAGTATAGATATGCCATTGTCAGCTGGGCCCGCCAGAGTCTCTTATTCTCAGCACTTGGAATGAATGTGGGCCTGAGTGTTAATCACCATAGTGTGCAAAAAGAACCCTTTTTGATGAAGGTTAAGGGATAGACTAATCTACCAGTACAAAAATAATTTACTGTTGGTGGAGCATTGGCAAGCTAGCCCTGAAGGCTTGAGAGTGGGAGATATGGCCCTTCTCCTCTTCTTCCATAAGGTGGCATGGTTGTGGGAGAGATGCCCTTTCCTCTACCCAGGCCCTCAAAGCCTGTAGCAGGTGTGAGAGCTGTCCCTAGGTCATAAGAGCAGGAGAGCTGTTTGTACCCCTCACCAGCTGCAGCATTCAGGAGAGTGGACCCTGCACCTTGCTTGGACAATACAGTAGGGCTGGCCATGGTGTGCTAGGTGTAGAGCTAGGCCAGAGAGAGTGAAAGGAGAACAGACCCTCTCCTTGTTCCTTGCTGTATAGAGTGAACTAGCTGGGGAAATGCTTAGAGAGCTCAACCTGGTGGTGAGAATGGAGGACAGCTGGTGGGCTGACCAATCATGCAACCACCCAGGCACAGAACGAGGGCCATGAGTTGGCTAGCTCCAACATCCCTCCATTAATGATCTCCTGAAGCAAGTGAAGGGACTGTTCTTGTATCTCCAAACCTGTAGGATCTCCACAACACAGGATAACAACAGGAGATACAAGAGGAATCCCAGTGAAGGCTCACTATCATATCAGTAGCACAGCAGAAACCAGAAGTATCAAACAAGACAAATGACTCTTTGCAATGAACACTTGGAAGTAGAGATATATGACCTAATGGGTATATTGTGTTATTCACTGTGTCATGCTATAGCATCTACTAAGAGATATTTTTTCCTTTTATTTTATTTCTTAAGTTTTGTTTGGCCAGGTGGTGGTGGCACACACTTTTAATCCCAACACTCAGGAAGCAGAGCCAGGTGGATCTCTGTGAGTTCGAGGCCACCCTGGTCTACAGAGAGAGTTCTAGAACAGGCTTAAAGCTACACAGAGAAAGCCTGTCTCAAAAACAAAAAACAAAACAAACAAAAAAAACAAAAACAAAAAAAAATTGATTGATTTTATTTCTGGGGGAGGGGCAGTTTATAAGGACAGATAGCTGATACAAAGGGACAGGGAGGTTAATGGAATCAAGATGCATGATGTGAAAACCACAAAGAAAAAATTAAAAAAAAAACTTAAAAAATAAGCTTATCGGGCAGTTTGTTACTATGCTAATTTAGTAGAATAAAAGCATTCGGCATTCTGCTGAGAAGAATGACCCACTGTCTCTTGTCTCTGTTTTTTGATCCACAGCCCCTCCCTCGGACATGGTAGAAGGGTGGTGGTAGCATGGGTGTTACTGCTACATAGAAGAATAACTATTTGGAAGGTGGTTGGGAAGCATGATGCTTTATTATAGTAGCAGTAGCATATTATCCTCTAAAATCCATAACCTCAATTGTTCTTGTTAGATGGCCAGGCTTCGAGCACCAGGTATGTTTTCCCTCTCTAAATTAGAAATATTTCTTCATGTGCCAGACTGGTACTAGAGGGACATGTAACTGCATGGGCCACCCAAATCTGAGTGGCCTGCACTGCTACTCAGGGCCATGAAGGCTGTCAGACCTAAGCTGCTGCAGCAGAACATATCTGAGTCTGTGAGCTTACACCAGCCAGTGTTCATATCTGTACACAAATTTCTAAATGGTTTATTAAATTAAAAAAACAGATCCAGATATAGGGGTGAAAACCTGAGTGATCAAGGAAATAGGGAAGGCCACAGGTAACCTTACCTCACCAACTACATGGCTTCCAAAAACGAGATATCTATCTACCCACACCTATATGCCTTGCTCTTCTGCCATCTGATTTGTTCTCTCTGTCCAACTACATCACATCCTCTTCCTTTCCAGCTCTATCACTTCCTGTCTGCCTATACAGACCTCCATACCTCCATGATTAACTAGTGCTGGAATTTAAGGCATGTGCCAACATGCCTGGCTCTATTCCCAGTGTGGCCTTGAACTCACATAGATCCAGACAGTACCCTGCATCCCAAGTGATAGGATTAAAGGCTTGTGCTAACATTGCTTGAATTTTTTGTTTACTTATAATGGCTGGCTTTTTCCTCTGATCTCCAGGCAAGCTTTATTTATTATACCACAAATAAAATATCACATTTCCCCTTTTGTGCCCAATTAAAAAATTTAAAAAATTGTAACTAGTATAAGAAAAACTATACACAATAAGTAAACTAACTATATATAATATATGCAAGCAATAAGTACATCAACAATGTCTAGTTCATTTACATTTGACAAATTCAGATAAAATGCTCCATTGTCTATCCTATCTTGGTGAGTCCAAAATGTACCTAATTCACTTTCTATCCTATCTTGTATTACCAACAGAAAACTATCATATGATGTCTTTCAAATTTACACACTTAACACCTCTTAGTGAATTTCTTTCCTAAAATTTGTAACAAGGAAAAGTGTAACTACAACTATCTAATCTTCAGCTCCCTCAGAAACCAAAAGAGGAAACAATATTACCTAATAAAACAGGAAGTGCAACCAAGTGACTTCCAAAAAATGTGAATTATGACAGGAGCAACCAGCTTCCTGGACAGTCACCTGAGGTTTCTCTGCAACATTGGAGCATCTTCAGCCTAGAAGCTTAGCATATATGACAGACTCATTTGTGAAGTATGATGTACACAAGGCCTAGAGCTCGACCCACATTTGGTTCAAGAATTCCATGTACCAGATAAGCCTGAATTTCACCAATGTTCTGTCATGTTTCAGGATTTTAAATTATGGAAATTGCTAGTGTTTTGGGAATTCGGCTGCCTATTCTTCTTGGCTTATGGGTGGTTTCCTCTTGGCCTCCTATTCTTCTCTGTATCCCATTCTTCTCACCTTGTGGGTGGCTTTATCTCCTTATTAAATCCAATCTACCATTGAGAGGTTGACTCCATCAGCTTAGTTACTCCTTCAAGAATAACTGTTTCAGTTACTGCTCCACTGCACACCAGAAGCCATCTGTCCACTGCCTGTTCAGCTGCCTTCAAAGAAAGGGCCACTGTACCTTTCCCAGATTGTAAACCCACTTCAGCAATGGTGCCATATTGTCCGGGCCTCAGAGAACACCTGTTGCCAAAGCTGCAACCACACTAGTTTGGCAAGGGTCAGTACTTTTGTTTATTGTCCTTCTTGTCCATTTTGGACAGCATACTGTCAGCAGTCTATGCAAGGGCAATTTCTTGCCCAGTGGCTAACTTTTGCCACAATGAAAGTTAACTCCATGTGGAGGTTCTTCAATGCCCATATCTTCTCTGAAGCAGATTGGTGCTGCCAGGAGCAGACATGTCTCATAGTCATAAAAAAGACTGTTATAATAACATAGAAAAATCTATGTTATTAAAATATATTAAATGTTATATTCTGTAGATCTCTGAAGTGTTTGAAGATGACATGTCTGTCTAAAATATATTTCTGGTTGACCTTGAAAACATACGTAATATGACTACAAGTTCAATTGTAATGACTACTTTCATTTCTTTATATCATAATAGTTGGTAATAATAACTTTCAAGGACTAGCAAATTGCATTACATTGTTAAATGAGCTGTATATGTACAATATCTTGAACAAGATTAGAAACATATGTACAACAAAATCAATCTCAAATTTGTATCATATATATAATATATATATAATACATATATATATAAATAAAATTTGTATACAATATACAAAAATCCAATCCAATGTAAAATATTTAAAACCAGTAGTTGCCTTTTAAAAGTAGATTCAATAATTTACCTTTGTATCTATATCATATCTATAGCCTCTTTTTTTTCTTTTCAGAGTAGATTCAATAATCTACCTCTTTTCTATATCCTCATTTTTATTTTTTTCAAACAAGAACCTTAAATCTAATCTCCTTCATTTAGTCTTTTATTGACGATTAACAAAAAATTGTAACCACCCATCCTAGACAATGACAATTATCCAAACCCATTTAAAGACCAAAACCCACCTGCCATACATCTTGGGATTGTGTGTGTCATGTTCTTAAAATTACTTCCTGCTGTTTGTGGGTGAAAACATCTTTAGGGGATCCTGAAAAGAAAAAATTGAGGTTAATTGTCAAATCCTGGGAGAGGTAGCTATATCATTTGTTGTCCAGTCTCTGTATAATATAAAAGTGCAGGACTTATCTCAAGTCCTCACTCAAATAGTCTATGAGGCTGAATCATCTCAGCTAGACATTTCAAAATTGTCTTGAGCAGTTTGTACTCCAAATATGATCTTTCGGTGATGTTTGTCAGCTTGGTGGTATTATTATTGTCCATGTGTATTCATCATTGTGGGGTCCCATCATCATTTTGGAGATCTCAAATTTGCTGTTAAGTGTGGTCTTGATTCCCTGCAAAGAACTGCTAGAGACTCTAATGCAAAAGCATGTATAGGCAGCTAAATGAAGACTCTTTTCTACAATTAGTTAGTACTCTATATGACTATTAATGTTATAACAAAAAGTTAAATATATATATATGTTAATCTTATAAATATTGATATAAAATTCATACCATTAAAGAATCAAAATAGAACCAAAGAACTGAGATTAGTGGCAATAGAAATAGTCCATTAATTTTGGTTTTCTTCTGTCACATATCAAATGGCTCTTGTGACATGATACATAAATTTTACATTTTCCTTTTAATAAACATGCTTGGGTTTAGAGAAAGAGAAAGCCATTCTCCAACTCCAAAGCCAGTTTTAATTTTTAATTGAACTGGGACTACACAAAGACCATTTGTGTTGTGCCTTTAGAGAAGAGCAAGAGCAAGCATTTAGAAAGACTTATGAAATTTTATATAGTGTGTGTATGGTGATATTTTATTTGTACTGAAATGTGATTTTAATTTTATGTTAATAAATAAAGTTGCCCTGGGGTCAGAGCTATTAGAGCCATAGCAAGAGCGTGATGGTTAGAAGAGCTAGGTAGATTTCTGTGTGTTCAGGGATACAGCCAGTATTTGAGACATACGCCTTTAAGACCTGGAGGGCGGTACTTACAGGCAGTGATGAGGCAGTCATGTGGTTGGGTTTACAACCAATGAGAAGGAAGAACAGAAAGACTATTTAAACACAGACAAACAGGAAGTACCTCTCTCTTGGGGAAGTTAGGAGCACTGCAGGAGGTAAGATTTTATCTCTGAGCTCTGACCTCTCGGCTTTCTCTTTTACATTGGCTCTGTGTTTCTTATTTTAATAAGACGATTGGTTACATCTACACGTGTGGACCTTTATGTGCAATTTAAACTTTAGTAATGTTTCTTTTACAAATGTGGGTGCCCTTGCATTTGGGGCATAAATGTTCAGAATTGAGACTTCATCTTGTTGGATTTTTCCCTGTGATAAATATGTATTGTCCTTCCCAATATCTTTTGATTGACGTTAGTTTGAAGTCTGTTTTATTAGATATTAGGATAGCTATACCAGCTTGCTTCTTAATTCCATTTGATTGGAAGGTCTTTTCCCAGCCTTTTATTCTGTCTTTGAAGTTGAGGTGTGTTTCTTGTATGCAGCAGAAGGATGGATCTTGCTTTCATATCCATTCTGTTAGCCTGTGTCTTTTTATAGGTGAATTGAGACCATTGATATTAATGGATATTAATGACCAGTGATTGTTAATTCCTGTTATTTTTTTGTTGGTCATGTTGTATGTTTCCATTCTTTGGTATTTGTTGGTGTGGGACTATCTATTGCCTGTGTTTTCATGGGTGTATCTAACTTCCTTAGGCTGGATTTTCCCTTCTATTGCTTTCTGTAGGGCTAGATTTGTGGAAAGATATTTACATCTGGTTTTATCATGGAATATTTTGCTTATTCTGTCTATGTTGATTGCTAGTTTTGCTGGATATAATAGTATGGGTTGGCATCCATGGTCTCTTAGTGTTTGTATAACATTTTTTCAGGACTTTCTGGCTTTTAGAATCTCCATTGAGAAGTCAGGTGTTGTTCTAATGGGTCTGCATTTATATGTTACTTGGCCCTTTTCGTTTGCATCTCTTAATATTTTTTTTTCTTTTCCTGTATGTTTAGTGGTTTGATTATTATGTGGCAAGTAGAATTTTTTTGGATCCAGTCTATTTGGTGTTCTGTAACCTTCTTGTATCTTTATAGGCATTTCCTCCTTTAGGTTGGAAAAGTTTTCTTCTATGATTTTTGTTGAATATATTTTCTGAGCCTTTGAGTTGGTATTCTTTTCCTTCTATCCTTTTTATTCTTAGGTTTGGTCTTTTCATGATGTCCCAAATTTCCTGGACATTTTGGGTCATGGCTTTGTTGACTTTAGTGTTTTATTTGAATAATTCATATATGCTCCTTATAATTTTTAAAGAAATCTGTATTTCTATTTATCTTCAGTGAAGTAGTAGAAATAGGAAACTCTGGCATTTCTATATTAAATACAGAAAGAATAACATCAAAATATCATTTCTTATTAAAACTGTGCAGAACATGAAATTGAAAAGTGTAAAATTTGTTCAGAGCACTGTTATCTTTTCCTCAATTAAGATATTATGAATTCCCCAGTTTCATGGTAATGCATCATGCAATCAAGGAATGTTGCACACCCTACAAGACCTGGTATAGTAGTTCAGAGTACTCAGATACAGTCATCTTCCTCCGTTATCACCAGGAAGGTTCAGGGTGTGAATTACGCACTTTATCAAACAGAAAGGTGATACAGTATTGAAAGATAAATTAAGGATTTCAGAGGAAATGAAGTCATGTGACAGAAATATACCAGAGAATCAAACTTAGTGGAAGGGAAAGATTGGGGGAGATGTGGGAGGCAAGTACTGAAATGAAGATGGGGATAGCTGGCAGAGGAGAGGAATTTTGAATTGTATGTTTTTTGTAAATCTGTTCTGGGAGTCTTGAAATTGTGGACTTGACTCATTCTTCTCATAATTTTGTTCAGAAATCTACCTTTGTGGAATATACTGGATTTCTGCGTATCACAGGAGTCTGGAGAGGAGAAGAAATGACTGACATCAGTGCCACAGGCCTCACACAAGGATCAAATTATATACATAATTTGTATCCCATGGGATGGTTCTTTGGTTTAATTTTTTGTGAAGATTTTGCAGAAAAGCTAAGAGTAATATTGATAGTAGAAAGAAAACAGCACCTCACTGACTAAACCTGGTTTCAAATCAACATAATGGTGAACTCTTACATTGACATGTGCAAATCCCTCCATGGATTCTGTCTTTCTCTGTATGCCTCCACCCCCAATGAATAACCATTAACCACCTGTGTTGTTATGCAAGCCTTTTTCTTTAACATGGAGAACTGAATGGGCTTTCTTGTCCTATACATAAATGTTATTTTTCTTTTAAAAGCAAACATACATGTTAGAACTACAGTTGTAGAATCCCTTGGGTCCATATACTCTCTCTAAAACTTACGAGGAAGGAAAGAAAACAGCAAATCTTAAACACATACCCACACCTCCCTTTCAGGCACAGGTGACTGTTTTTCTTTTAAGAGCTTATCTTCTGTCTCACGGCTCCATCAATGTCTTAGCTATGAAATCTTAGTCTGGGTACAGTGATGGTGGCATCTTTATTGTTGCATTAATGATGATAATTTCATTCAGGACTATAACAAGAAAGATGAGAGATGCTATTCTCACCCAGTGCAGGGAGTGGGCTGGTAATATGACAGGAATTTTCTAAAGGTTGTCTACCATGTATCTCTCTCTTTCCCCATTCCTGTTTGTCCATCTGTCCACACCTTCCATCCATCCTGCTCTCTGTGTGCATATGTCCCTTCCCACAGTACTAAATTCTAAGTTACTAACAAAGACTTACATTACTATAGTCTAAGACACAGACTTACAGATTTGTTTATTAGAGTTTCTTGCATCTAAATGAACCCAATCAAATCTTCTCTTCAACTCAATGGTGTGCACAGGGTGGCCATGGAGGCTGAGTGTTCAGTGTAAACACTTTTCTGTGGCCAAAATCCCTCAAAGGACCTATGTTATATTTACATAGAATTATTCCATATTTTTAGTATTAGTGTCATACATGTAATTTTGCCTGTCCTAATAGGTATTTTGATAATCAATTTCAATAGGTGTTAGTAACATACACAACCTGTGATTTTTTTTCAGTCAGGGATGTAGTTCTGTTCACAGTCAGCAGACAGATGATATACAAAAGCCATGAAGGACCTGAAGACAATGGTTCACAGCATCAGTGTGAGATGATGAGAGAGATTTTAAAACTTAAGCAGATGTGTGAAAAGCACAATTCACACACACACACACACACACACACACACACACACACACACACGGAATGAGAAAGAAAGAGAGTGATGCTTGATCACACTCCCTCATTTGAATTCTGAAGTTTCCAAATCTGCAATTACAAAACCACTCAGATCTCAATGAATAATACAAGTATCTTTTTAATTTTCATGAACAAGTTATTTAAGATATCTGAAGCTCAGAATAACATATATCATACTATCACCTCCACAAAACACCTTCCTGTGAGTTCTCGATATCTAAGCAATGCATAGTTTCTGTATGCAGATATGGAATGGAGAATGTAATATAGATTATGATTGAATGATCTCCACTCTTCATATGGAAGTGATCACCATCTCCTCTACAAATTTACTCAAAGCTTCTATATTGGTACTGAAGATTATCTGCTGAGGAGTTTGTGCACTGTACAAGCCCTCAAGCATTACTAAAAATGACCAATAATGATGTCAGTCAGCAGATGATTAATTGGTTTTCTAAGATGTACTCTCAAACAACAATCCCACAGATTAGTGAAGAAGTCAGGGGGTGTCTCATGGACTACAATAAATTTAGCATAGGGCTCTGCCTGAGTTATAATTACCTTGGTATTTGTGCTTCCAGCTAATTTTGAGTGTTCCAGGAACACACTGTCTCCCTTCTGCTTCTCAGTGTTATATCTGTGATTCCTCCTGGATTTTGGTGGCTAGAAAGCCTTTATAGTCATGGAAACTTCCAAAATGTCTGTATACCATGGAGATGGTTATGATTTCAGAAAAATGCCATTATGACATCATGGGATCCCATACTGGGAGAAGGGGGCATTGTGAAATTGATTATGGGAGACCTTGAAAGTGTGGGTTGTAGAGTTGCTTTTTGTGTGAAACAGAGACTGATAAAGCTGTGGCTACCTGAGATGTGAGTATTGAATAGCATCTTGGCTCGAGTCATGTTGAAGAAGGATATTAAGGTAAGTGGATCAGTTTAGAACTAAGAAAGAGGCAGAGGATGAGTAGGATAAGATGGCAAAGGAGGAAGAAGAGCAAAAGCAGGAAGAGAAGAAGGAGAAGAACAAGAAGTAGGTGGAGGAGGAGAAGGAGAAGGAGAAGGAGGAGGAGGAGAACAAAGTTCTCAAAGATACAGGTCCTCCTACACCAGTTACACTTGAGTTGGTACCTCATGCCTCACAAGATTGTTAATGTATGGTGAAAAACTCCAAGGAAAAAAGGAGAAAACATCCTGTTCCTGACTTGAACCCAGTACCAGGGATTGAAGTACCACCAATCCCTGAGGTTGCCCCAGAACCAAGCTTCAAAATACCACCAATCCCAAGCCACACTAGAAAGATCTGCACTCACCTCCCCCAATAAACACTATATAAGCACTCTACTCTGTTCCATAAGATGCTGTTTCCCACCCTAGAGGCAGCCACCCCCCTGGACTTTTCTACCCAATAAAATTTTTGAGTGTGGTATGTTCTGCAGTGTGACACTTTTGCCAGAGTGAAGCCCAGGTTTAACAACTTTGAGCAGAATTTGAGTAGAGTGGAGCAGAACTGTGACACTTTCTCTTGGGAACCTATCTCCTAGAATATCAAAGTTATAAAACTTCTCAGGACATGAACAGGGCTGTAAAACTTCTCCAGAGCAGAGAAAAGATGCAACAACTTTACTGGGGAAACTCTCCACTGCCTGAGCGGAATTCTACAACTTGCACTGGGGAAATATTACCCTGGAGCAGAACTGTAAGCTGCTACACTACAGTGACTTTGTGGTATTCTTTGTCTCCTTAATGCCAGGGTACCTTTCCATCAGCAATGCTTACAGTTAGGATTTGGTTTCTGTTAGAAAAGAGAGTACACTGGTGACAACATAGTTCCACTTAAAGTCCTGGAGCCCACAGCCTTCTGGATTCTAGGCACAGTATAACATCGGGTCTTCAAGGATCATTCACAGAAGATTATGTTGATGTCTAGAGCAGTGTGAACTGGATAGGAAAGTTTACAGAATTCATTCCAGCAGAGTATCTGTTTTAACTACCATAGATAGCACTTTTGTCCCCAGAGGTCAAAGCCAGGCTACCTTTTCTCTGATCAATGGTATTGGAAGTGTTGACTTGAGGACAAGACAGTGTTTGGCATGCACTCCCTGAAACTCTCTTGGCAAAGTTTTTAGAGATGTGTCACAGAAATCATGGGCAACTGGGGTCATGGATCTTGAGAGAAAATCTATACCCGCTGTTGTATCACAGTTTTTTCTTTCATTGAATCATTCCATCTAGCAGGGAATTTCTTTAAGTAGTGTCTTATTTAAAGTTTCTGTTGTTGTGGAAAGATACCATCATCTCAGCAAATATAAAAAGGAAAAAAATAACTGGTATTGGCTTACAGGCTTAATGGTTTAGTGCATTAACACTATGGTAGGAAGCATGGAGGTATGCAGGCAGACATTGTAATGGAGAAGGTGTCAAGAGTAATACATTCAGATTGGCAAGAACCAGGAATAGAATTATACAAGGGTCTACTCAAGCATCAGAAACCTCAAAGTTCACCTCCAGTGACACACTTTCTCCACCACAGCCACACCACTCGAACAAGGTCAGACCTAAGAGTTCCACTCTTTATAAGCCTATGATGCCTATTTTCTTTCTTTCTTTCATTTTTTTTTTCTTTGAGACAGGGTTTCTCTGCATAGCTTTGCGTCTTTCCTGGAGCTCACTTGGTAGCCCAGGCTGGCCTCGAACTCACAGAGATCCGCCTGGCCCTGCCTCCCGAGTGCTGGGATTAAAAGCATGCGCCACCCCTGCCCAGCTATGATGCCTATTTTCATTCAAACTACCACAAGTAGGAAGGCAAATGACTCAAAATGGCCTCAGAAAGTACCTGATAGTAATGTGATTCACAATGTCCCTCTTTTCCAGAGTAAACAATAAAAGCAGAGAGACTCAGACAAGATAATACACAAAAAAAATCCTTAAGACAAGACCAGCTGCTTGGAGAAAGCAAAACATCAGAGCTGAATAGAATAGGATTAGACAAACTGATTCACCTGGAAAGGACACTCTCATCATTATGAGTTGTCTGAAGGCTTTGCAGTGTCCTCCATACCCAAGTTGCTCCCCCACAGGGAGAATTTCACGTTATGGGCCCAGCAGCCAAGACTGATGCTGTCCTGACACCTGTCCTGCCAACACTGTGAAGACTACAGGAACCTGGGATGATGGCAGTCTGGGTAATGGATAGTCTCTGTCGTTTTTTAATAGATTTGGAAGTCTGCACTCAGGTACAATGTATCCTTCTCAGATCTTTGATGACATTGATGACTGGACTAGCTATAGCTTTGTCAGCTTAGTAATAGATTGATCAATGAATTAATTAATTAAAGCGAATAAGTCTCTTTAAAAAAAGATAAACAGGTTCTAAATATAGACTTACCGATGCTTTTCATTGGGCCAAAGAAATTTCAATCCAATCTATACTTGGCTCTCTAGATAGAAAAGACAGTATGGATTTCAGGGAAAATTGATAATACTACAATTACTGAGACTATGTGTCTAAAAGTTCCAAATAAGTTCATAAGTTTTAACTCCTGTTCCTAGTTTATATCTGTCTCAATAGGTTTCCACTTGGCTGACAGATACATCCAAGCATCATTTGCTGGTGACAACCTACTGCAAATGACTATGAGCCATGAACTTGCTGAAAGCTGATATGGACCAATTCAGCCGATATGCATACCATCTCTTCAGCTGATCAATAAAACGTTCCATCTTGTCTTTAACTAACATTCTAGTTTTCCAGGGCCCTAACAACAATGTCTCAATATCAGCAGGAAGTAATCACAGAAGAGAAAACATCACCCTTGCCCCCCCCCCATCGAATGTTAGATCAAAAGGGAATTTCTTGTCATAGGGAACCTGAGATAAAGTAATAACTGGTCCCCATTCTCATTTCCAAGTTCCTTCAGGATAAGTAACTCTGTCAGCCATCACAGGCCTTTTGGCCCTTGTGCTTCTGCTAATTACTGTTGGCTCTTATATCACTGATGTATTAATTAAATGATGATTTGTGTCTGGGCACCACTAAACTGAGGATTCTAGAATTCCAATATCCACCTCTGAACCCATGACACACTTGCAGATGGCAAAAACTGAATAAGGGAAGCTCACTTTGCCTTTGATATTGGGAAACCTCTTATGTTATGGTCCAATTAGTCTCCGATATGATCTACTACCCTGGTGATAAAGTCTTTTACCAAAAACAACATCTCAAAGATTGGAGATGATATACAACTCAAGGGGGGAATGAAAGGACCAAGCAGATGCCATAACAGGCTGCTCAGCCTTCTCTCAGATATCAGGCCTCAATTTCACTTTCCTGAGACTGAGCAAGCAGTCTCTGGGAGGGCCGTGAACAAAAGACATAGTCCTTGCAGTAGCTCCCTTTCTGCATGTACTCTGACTGTTCAACGTTCAGCCAGATGTTTACTGTCTGGGACCCCTCACCAACTTAGAGTTATGTGCATGAGTCAAGGCCAGAGCCTGGGCCACTGAGTCAGCCCCAATAGTCAGTACGTGCTTGGCCAGGCAGCCCCCATGATGGCTCAAGGACAAAGCCTGGGACTTGTGCTGGACTGCCACAAAAATGCTAATTGTAATCACCAACCAGTAAATTCAAAGGTTACATACCCTCACCCAATTAAAAGAGAACAGAGATAAAAATAAACCAATTTGAGTTGCACCTGTGCAAAATCCCTGCAACCACACTGAAGGGCTTATGGTTTTTGCCTTTAAAAAGCTAGCCACACAAAGAGCAACTCCTCCCTGCCTCACTGTATTGGGTGTAGGAATGAGTTCCTTGTCTAGACTTGTATCTACAGAATAAACCTTGCTGTTGCATTCTGGACATCCAAGGTCTTCAGTGGTCTCTTTGGGGTCACAATCTGGGCATAACACTCTTAACTATGGAGTAACAGCAAAAAAAAAAAAACTACTTTAGTGACAGTGAAAATAGGAAATATTACAAAGGACTAGGAAAAAATTCACGTTTCCATATAAAACTTGTGAGCAACTTTGCAGTAAGAGGAAATAATGGGAGTCGTACTTTAGAAAGTGTTTAAAAATAGAGAACATACTCTCAAAAATAGAATCTTTTCTTCCTTCCATTCCTTCTTTTCATCATTTTTTTCTGAGAGTTTCATGTAGTTTAGGCTATCCTAAAGCTTGCCATGTAGCAGAGGATGACTCTGAGTGCCTTGTCATTATCTTCTGCCTGCTATAGAACTAGAAGAATGTGACACCACACTCTGTGTATAAAGTGTGAGAGATCAAATGATGGGCTCCATGCATGTTATGGAAGCAAGACACCAACTGACCTACATCTGGAGACTCAGGAGCAGACATATAAAGCATAAAGAAAGGTGATGGAGGAATGAAGACAAAAGTTGTTCCAGCAGAAAAAGGATGCAAGTTCAGGAAAGTCCCTTGTGACAGGACTATTGTAGGATGAGGTATCAAACTTCTTTTTATCTTATTGCTGTAATTTTCACTGTGAATGTTCATTGAACATGAAACAGTGACACAATAGGACAATCCATACAACCATATATTTCACTGACCATATTTCACTTGTAGTCTTCTGATGCCTTTTTCTGCACTTCATTTGTCCCAATTGTCTCTCTTGACAGTTTTTCTCATGTCTTCATTCAAAGTGTATGAATCCTTAATTTTATGTTC